ACACACACACACACACACACACACACACAGAGCACGAGCACACACACACTCACACACATACCAGTCCCCAGGTACTAATAGTAAATAAAATTAAAAGCATTGATACAAGCATCTCCACAATTATTTTCCACTTTCTTCAGATTAATAATGTACTTAATTGTGATAAATTTAACAACTTACATTAGTATACATATTAAGACAAGTGCCCATGAAAACCACCATCTTGCATAAGATATACAAAAAGTCTAATCTCTTGATTGGAGGACACAAATCTCTGAACATTTGTATAACAAATCCTGCTATGCTATTACAGTAGAATCATATGCTAGTAGTAGTAATTACAGTATATCATATGTCGACAATGCTGCTTTCGGCCTTGCCATCTAAATAGAACCTTTGAAAGGTCAGAAAACTCCTCGAGACTTTTTTTTCTTCCACAATCATTTCCTGGGCCTTCCTACTCGTGCCCAAGTTCATTCCCAAAGAGTTAGCCCAGGCTGCAGCACCGTGCTTGGACGACAAGGCTCTAAACAGCGTTAGAGGAAGCACCAAGAATGCGACAGCATGACTTGTGAGGAGGTGTCGAGAAAGAAAGGGACCCAGAGGAGAGAGAGAAACTAGAGAAAGATCCAAGGGGAGTCTGACAAAATTGGAAGCAAGAGTTTGGCGCCATCAAACCGTCCCCTCCCCTTGCTGAAGAGACCGCTGCTGTTACTGTGACTGTTCTCTGGATCTGGAGTCACCGTTGACTCTGTCACTGTGTGCAAAGCACTGTGGTCCCCAGGAATCCTCTGTTCTCCTGACCACTCTCCCCGGGGCCATTCCACTTAACATCACAGATTTACTTATATGTCAAGTTCAAAGCAGTGTTATCCATAAGGTCCAAAAAGTATCGACAATCCTAAGACCCATCAACTAATGAAATTATAAATTATAAATTTAGGGTATTTATACAAAAGACTATTATTCAACACTAAACAGACAAGCATTGAAACGTGATAAAACCTCGTTAAATTTCAGAGACTATGTGAAGAGGGTGGTGAAGGAGGATTGCCTATACCACAGGGCGGTTTATGTGAACATTCAGAGTTGGCACATCAGTAGAGAAGAAAGTAGATTAGGAGTTGCCTAAATCTGGGAGCAGCGAGGGGAACTGAGAAATGATTTCTAATAGGTCTGGGATTTCTTTGGAGGTGATGAAACTGTTCTGATATTGATTGTAGGGATGCCTGCCTAATCTGTGAATATACTTAAAAACATTCAATAATACACTTAACTGGGAATATTATAAGGCACATGGATCACATAAGTCATAAACACAGTATTTTTTCAAATCACGGGTTGAATAAAGCCATCATCCTTGAGGAGAGGGGGTTAAGACTGACTTCTTTAAGCTTAAGAACTGACTTATTCTTGAGACACTTAAAGAGTACTAAAAATAAGAGAAAGTGTTTGTTTCTCTGCTGGGATTGCGAGCCAGAGATCTGAATGCTAGTAATCTCCATCAGTTAGCTGTACCCTTGAATAAAGAAATCTTGAACTATGAGAGGCACAAAATCCCTTGTTATGAAAATGGCACAGACATGCTTCTGACAGATGCCTCCCTGTGCTTCGAGCTCGCCTAACCATCACCAGGGAACCTAACTCCTCAACTCTGCTCCCACCCTTTCCTTTCTGCATGTCCGGCTTCCACCACACACTGTCAGCCAGGTCGCCAGTCTTCATCATGTCTGGATGACTGAACTGCTCCTGCTAGGTCTTGTTGCATCTGTTCTGTGCCCTCTCCAGCCCCCACAACCACATTACCATCAGAATAATCTCCTTGAAACAAGGATCTGCCAGTCCCCACCCGCTAGCCCTTCTGTGACTCCTTCTATATGCCAGAAATTTCATCCCAGCGTGTTTTAAGAGGAAGACTAGGTGGAGGGATCTAGTGGAGAAGGATTACGTCACTGAGGACACTGACTTCGGAAGGGTAAAAGTAATACTCCTGCGGCCCATGAGTTATTTCTCACAAGAAGGTGGTTAGAAAACCGTGAGCTTGTCCCTTGAATATATCTTTATGGTTTCGTGTCCCACCATGTGACATCTCCCTCTTACACACATTCCCTCCATTCTGATGCCGCATACCATGAGATCCTCACTAGAGCCAAGATGATGCCAGTTCCATAGCCTTGAGTCCCTAGCACTCTGAGCCAAATAAACCTCTTCTTTATAAAGTGCTCGGCCTTGGGAATTTTGTTATAGCAACAGAAACACATTAATACACTTCACTTCCATTTTTCTCAAAGGATGAAAGTTAGTCAGTTCGTTTTTCTATGCCCTGGTCACCTGGCTCCCAGGCTTATTATCTCCATCAAATGTCTAACCACCAGTGATGCCCTGCCTTTAGGGCTGCAGGCTGCAGGAATATATTCTAAGAACTCATCTGGTTATGGCAAAGTCACTACCTGGAAGAATCAGGGAATTCCTCCAGAGGAAGCCAAATTCCAAGGAGTTTTTGGTGTTACTTGGCTTGTTATATATCAGCTGTATTCTGTTATGAAAATCATGTGTGCCTTCATAGTTTTCCCAATTGACTTTTCCCTTAGAAGGGCTAACAGTGTGGACTGATCTCTCTGGACATACATGTTGCTGGAGGGCTTCTCTCCAGGTTCCCCAAGCCCCGCAGTCCCACAATCCACATATAAAATAATCACTCAGACGCTTGTATCACTTATAAACTGTATGGCCGTGGCAGGCTTCTTGTTAACTGTTCTTATATCTTAAATTAACCCATTTTTATAAATCTATAGCTTGCCACGTGGCTGGTGGCTTACCAGCTTCTTTACATGCTCTTCTCCTGGCAGTGGCTGCAGTGTCTCTCCCTCCTTCTTCCTGTTTCCCCAATTCTCCTCTCTCTTTGTCCCGCCTATACTTCCTGCCTGGTCACTGGCCATCAGTGTTTTATTTACATAGAGTAATATCCACAGCACATACACATTCCAGGTATTTGGAGAACAGCCTCAGGAAAGGCTTTCTCTGGAATCAGATATCTCCCTTAGCCACTTTCAAGGACTAACAGGAGATACCACCCAGGTGGGTGCCCAACTTCCGAGGACTAACAGTGATAGCAGCCCACATGCAAGTCTCCTGACTTAAGGTAAATTCCACAAGGAGACACCACCTAGGAAAGGTGGACGTTAAGTAATAGCTTTACACAATTTAGCTCGGACCCTCCCTTTATATACCGGGACTTCCAGGGCACGGGACAGAGAAGAGAAAAGAGAATGGAAGAACTAGATGGGTAAGAACTTGAGAGGAACAAACTGAGATGGGGAAAAACTAGATTGAAGGGTTAGAAGAGAGTACTAGAGGAACGAGATGGAAGATAAGGAAGAGTCAGATGGGAAAGCCCTAGCTGGGTAAGAACAAGGTGAAAAGGACCTAGATGAGGCAGAATTAAGATGAGAGAATTAAGATAGAACTTAGAGGGAGCAGTAGATAAATACAGAGAGAAATCAGGCAAGAAAGGAGCTAGGCATGAGAACAGAACTGAAGCTGTGTATGAAGGATGTTATGCCAAAGGAATTAAAGCAAGTGGACTATAGAGCTCGGTGTGCTGAGATTCTATTTCCTGAAAATAGTCCTCACCGGTAGTAGTTCTCTCTCCTGAGCCCCTGAGATGTATAATATTAAGGCTGGTCCCTCTAATATTATACAAGACTTTAGCCCTAGCAACATGAGATCAGAGGCCTGGGGGTCTCATGTATATCACCTTTCTCACATATCACAGTATATCACATGTCCTATACTGTTCTCCTCATGGAACTGCTCTTTCCCCAATTCTTTCTACCTACTAATAATGCCTAGACCAATGGTAGCTCATCTGATTGCCTCTAGGGTGGTAGCTGGGGTGAGGAACTGGCTAGAAAGAAATACAAAGGAACTTTTTTCAGTGATCAAAACCGTTTGCATCTTGATTAGAGTGGGATTTTCAACATTCATTGGACTACATTACCATTTGCACTTTGTTTAAATTTTTTAAATGTTAAGAAACAACAACAAAAAAAGATGCTTAGAGAGTATCATTTCCTAAAACAAGTTCCCTCAAGACCCACACCTAATACAGACTGAGTTAGACATCATTCCTCAGTGGCCCCATGGCACCCTATGAATTCCTTTATCACAGAGTTAACTTGTCCTACTATACTACACAGGGTCCTACAGTAGTACACAGTATACATAGTACACAGTATACAGAGTACACAGTATATAGAGCACACACTGTCATACAGTAGTACACAGTATATAGAGTACACATAGAGTACACAGTATACAGAGTACACAGTGTCCTACAGTAATTAGTACACAGTATACAGAGTACACAGTATACCTAGTACAGTGTCCTACAGTAATTAGTACACAGTATACAGAGTACACAGTGTCCTACAGTAATTAGTACACAGTTCCTACAGTAGTACGCAGTTATTGTGTCTATCTTACCAAACTATGACCTTTAGGGTAAAAAATAAGTCTTAATGGTTGTATATCACCAACAATTATACCTTTATGGTATCTCCAGCATAACATACACATACACACATACACACACACACTTGGATTTTTTTTAGCCATTTGGACATCAAAATGAAACTTATAAGCAGAAGATGGTGTAGGTGGTTAGCAAGACAGAGAAGAGTTCTGAGATTTTAATGTAACTAAGAGGGAAGAAAGGAGGGGAGGCGTGGAGAGGGAGGGAAGGAGGGAGGGGGAAAGAGGGAGGGAGGGAGAAGAATAAAATGTAATCATCCACTGCAGTTAGGATCAGCCTTCAAACCACTACTGCCCTTGGCCCCAGCAGCCTCCCACAGCCACACAAACATAACCCACACCCCTGCTCATCTTCCTTTTAAACAGTTTAAACCAATACTTGTGTTGGGGTTGAAGGGGACCCCTTGCCAATGAGGTTGAGCTTGCCTGTTTATTCCCTCTTTAGTGCCAATGAAAGTTCCGAACAGAGGCGCCTAGAAGTGCAGCTGTGCCCCGTGAATGGCCAGCAGGAATGATAGCAAATTGATTTGCCAGGGGGGGGAAATTCTGCTTGCTTCTGATTTAGACAATTCACCCTAATCTCTTCAAAACACACGTCTAAGGGAGCTTTATCATCCCTATAATTAACTTAATTTAGATAAATATTAGTCACCAGAAATTTCACTTTATAAACTTAGCTATGGTTGAACGCTCCTAGATTCCTAACGTGCTCCAGGAATCAATGCAATGTTAACAAGATCTGACAGCTTGGCAGGTGCTCCAAGGAGACCGGGACCCTAAGAGAACCGCAGCCCAACGCCGTTCTGTCCCTTCAAGGTCATCATCCTGCACTGGTTCACATATGTATTGATCTAGATGCCTTAGCCTCGGTTGACCATCCAATTCCTCCTCGTATCGTACCTCTTCCCTTTGTCCTCCCCAGCGAGCACCTCTGCCCCGAAAAACCTGTCAAGAAAGAACGGAGACATCTTTGGTGGCAGAACAGGCTGAGACAAAGAACGGAGACGACATCTTTGGTGGCAGAACAGGCTGAGACAGGCTCGCTGGTCTCATCAGCAACTCTAAAGATCCAAACGCTGAAAACCGCAGGGTAATTTGATGTGAACTCCTTTGGCAGCACACCCTGCCCTGAGTTAGCATGAGGTTCTTTGTGTAAATTTAGTATAAATAGACCATTTGGTACAAATATTCACCACTGTCCAATTACAGAGCTCTGTCCCGGACCAGGTTGACAGAATTTCATACCAAATACTGTATGCAACATATCACCTTCCCAAAATCCAAGAATGTCTGAATGCCAAAATACTTCTGGCATCAAATGTCTTAACTATGTGATTATGAGTCTAAGCCTACTTGAATACTGAATTGATTTGTTGTAGGCATTCAATGGCATTTTTGTGACTAATTGGGCAGAAAAAATACCATGGCAGCAAGGAGTGGGACCCCGTGGTCTGATAACACTATTCCTGCCTCTTCTAAGGGAGCTAACAACCCACCAGAGGACCATCATAGTTAGGACCCAGCTCTTGGAAACCTTGCTAGGTGGTGGTCTGAAGAGCAGGACCCTGATACACAGCTATGAGAACACCCACCCAGGCCTGTCCATGGAACAAGAACCTGACGGAACAGTCACTGTCAGCCCTGGTCCCCAAGCCATCAGCTCAGAGACATAGATTCCAACTGGTCACCAAAGCTTGTTGGCAAAATATGCAAATATTGGGAGATTTAACTGAATCTCAGACTTGGTATTGAACTCCTCAGAACAGGGTACACTGCATCAGAGTAAACTGAATGACTTTTAGAAAATCAAACAAGATCTTGCAACCAGTATCTAGAGCCAAAAATCTAGTATCTCTAGTACTAAAGAGCTTCCCATTGTATTCCCTTCCAAATCATTATCATCCCCTCCCCCAACCAAAGACAACCACAATCCTGACTTACAAAAGTCTGGCGTTTCCAACTTGATTGGCCTTCCTTCCGTCCTCCTTCCTTCCTTTCTTCTTTCCTAGGTTCCTACCATCAAGATGTGTCCCCAGACCCTGCTTGATAGTGTTTCGAGGAATGAGAAGCAAACCCAGAGACTCAACACCACTCAAACGCTTCCCTATTGACCTCCCATCCCCAAGCCCACTTAATTTTTAAATTTAAGTTCACCAACTGCTTTGCCATTAAGATGACTGTTAGGTGATGGTCGGGTTTCCCTCCTACCTCCTGAAGGTGTGAGGGAGTTGAAATACAACCAGCACACACAACTCAAGAACCACATAGCCACGCAACAGTGAAAAGATTGGGGCAGGGGGATCAGGAGTTCAAGGCTAGCCTCAACTACATAGCACATTCTGGACCAGCCTGGGATACTCTCTCTCTCTCTCCCTCTCTCTCTCTCTCTCTGTCTCTCTCTCTGTCTGTCTCTCTCTCTCTCTCTCTCTCTCTCTCTCTTACACACACACACACACACACACACACACACACACACACACGTAAAATCAAACCCTGACAGGAAGCTGATTATGGAGGCTCTCAGAAGACTGAAGCAGGAGGATGAGGAGATCAAAGACAAGCCGGGCTACAAAATAAGACCCTATCTGAAAAAACAACAACAAAAATTAAAGACTATGTCTTCATATAGGTGTGTGTGTGTGTGTGTGTGTGTGTGTGTGTGTGTGTGTGTGTGTTTCCTGTATGTATGTCTGTACACCACGTGTGAGCCTGCTGCCTGTAGAGTTGAGAAGAGGGTAATACGTCCCCTGGAACCGAAGTTACAGTCAGTTGTGATCTGCTGTGTGGATGCTGGGAACTGAACCCCAGCCCTCTGGAAGAACAGAAAATGCTCTTAACCATTGAGTCATTGCCCTACCCCCCAAAGGATATTTCTTTACATGATTCAAAAAAAAATCAAAGTTTGTTTACAATAAATACCACGGAAATTAAATGTAAACAAATTGATTCAACTATATACCATTTAAAACTTGCAGAATGCCAATTTTAATTAAGATAAAATTCACATACCATAAGATTCACCATTTTAACCATTTTAAAATGTGCGGTTCTGGACAATCATAGGTTTCTGCAACATGCACCACTACCCAGTTGCAGAACATTTCTTTCCCACCAGATACAGTGTCACGTAGCTGTAATTCCAGCACTTGGGAGCTGGAGGCAGGAAAATCGGAGTTCAAGGGCAGTTTTGACTACACAGCAAGCTGGAAGCCAATCTGGGATATTTGGGATTTTTCCTCAAAAAATTTTTTTTTCATCTCATCAAAAAGCAGCCCTGTGGGTTGAGGATTTAGCTCAGTGGTAGAGCGCTTGCCTAACAAGCGCAAGGTCCTGGGTTCGGTCCTCAGCTCAAAAAAAAAGTAGCCCTGTACCTACACCAGTCACTCCCAATTCCTTCTTCCCTATCCCCTGGCAATAACTCTCTGAAGATATGTCCATTTGGATACCTCATATACACTATCCAGCCTTTTCTGTTTCTCTTAGCATGGTGATAACAAGGTTCACCCACTGCCCACTGAAATGTCATGTGTCAGAACTTCATTGCTTTTTGTGGCTGCATAATCAAATTCTGTAGATGTACCACATTTTCTCTATCTGTGCATCAAGAAGTAGACATATGGGTTGTGTTGTCCCTTAGGCTGTTGGAAACAATGCTTCTGTAAACATCTGTGTACAAGTTTGTGTGAAAAGGCATGTTTTCAATTCTCTTGTACATACTAGGAAATGGAATTTCTATGTTACATGGTAATTTTAACACCCTAAGGATCTGCAGATTATTTTCCAAGATGGCTACAACATCTTGTGTTGCTACCAGCAATGTGTGAGGTTCCAATTTCTCCACATCCTTGTCCGTACTTATAGTCTAATGCTGTTATTATTGTTGTTATTATTATTATTACTATCATCATCTTAGTGGGTGTGAGAATGGTATCTCATTGTGATTTGTCTCAAAATAGCACTTGTCACACAAAGCATAATCAACAGATATTAGCTGCTATAATTTTATATATACATTATATTATATCATAAAATGTAAATTTTTAGTTATACAATGCGTATATTTACACATATAATTATAAATGGGTTTTTAGCAATTTTTAAAATAAGTTTTGCCATGATCCTCTCCATCCTCTCTTGCCCGCAGAAGATTAGGCTCTATACATACAAAGAAGTGTGATAGTTTAAGATAAGATAAAAGGCCATGTGAGAAGTCTGGAGGGTAAGAGAGAAAATCTAGAAACATTAGAGAAGTTAAAGACAAAGATATGTTTTTCAGTCTTTGTCCACTAGATCTCAGTTTCTGAGAGCGAGGCGGTTAACTTCTCCAGGAAGGTTTCATCAATATCTTCCTGACCGCGCCCTTGTTTTCTGGGAAGGTAACAGAATGTATTCCAAAAGAAATAAGAATCAAGAGGCATGAGTCTGGGCTCTGATTTCCCCACTAACTCTGTAACCCTGGAGATTCACCTCGTTCCTCTGACTCTTGTGTCCTACTTGAGGGAAGTATACAGCGGGAGAGGAAGGGAGATGCAGGGAAGAAACCGAGTGGAGAAGGAAGAGAAGGTGGGAGGGAGGAAACAGGCAGGGAGAAAAAAGAAGAGGCCCCCAGGCCCCCCGTCCAGTGATCAGGCATTGCATTCTGAAATCTCTTTGCAATCCTATGGTAAGCAGCATTGTTCCTGCCGCCGTTCCCATGTACGCTTGCTAACCTTGCTGAGAGCGCTCCTGTCACGTTGATTTTAGTGAGCAACACAGAATGCCCCCAAATAATCTCCTCTCCTTGTGGACTCTCTGCCCGAGAATCAAGCACCCGTACATCTGAAGGAGGGGCAGTTTCTATGTCAAGCTCAGAGGTGGGCATGAGTGTCGACTCCCCAAAGGCCACAGGGAAGATGTGCAGAACAAAGGTCCCTGGGACGTCACTGTGCGAGCCCACAGGTTGGAGGAGCTGTGTCATCAGAAGAAAAGAGGCGGCTGCTGCCACGCCACGTGGTGTACAGCCAGCCCGTGTGCATCAAGCAGAAAGCAACCAATTTTGAAAGTGTTTCTCTTCTTGCCGTTTGCCTCTATATGCTGACAATAACTATATAAGTAAAACTATCCCAGTTACTGGGTATACAGCAGGGCACAAAATGAAGCCCCTGTACCCATGAAGTCTACAGGTAAATGGGGAAGAAATACAATAAAGCAAATAGGTGTGTGCGTGTATACATGTAGGTGCATTATGTACATATGTGTGTACACCTATGTGTGCACCTACTGAAATATAAGCGTGTGTGTGCCCACTGGTACGTGCTTTGAAAACAGTTAAAGGAACAGAAAGTGGAATAGAGAATGCGGGGGAAAGCTAGGAGCAAGTTGCTTCTACGAACAGGACATGTTGCAGATATAGCTCATTTGGGAAAGGGTTGCCTAGCGTGTACAAAGCTCCGGGTTCTGTTTTTTGAGTACCTCGTAGACTAGGTATGTGATACACACCTGTAACCCCAGCACTTGGGAGGTGGAGACAGGAGGATCAGAAGTTCAAGGTCATTTTTGCCTAGGTAGCAAGTTTGAGATCAGTCTGGGATACATGAGACCCTGTGTCTAATGAATTAATTAATCAAAGTAGTTAGAGTGAGGTTGCATTGATTAAGTAACATATAAATGAAGAATTGAACAACAGGGTCCTGAGGCATCTGGAGAAAGAGCACTCTAGGCAGAAAGAACAGTGAGAGCAAGTGCAGGTGTATATTCGAGAGGAGGAATTGTGAGGCAGCCACTGTGACTGACTCAGAGAAACCAAGGTAGGAACAGGAACCATAAGATGGGGTGAGTGGGAAGCATCGCTTGCAGGGCCCGAAGGACCATGTCCAGACGTTGGCTTTTATTCTGAGCAATGTGGTGATCTAGTGAATGATTCTTAGCAAAGAGAGACATGACTCAACTTGTCCTTGAGACAATTCCTAAAGCTACTAAGAGCATCCATAGAGGTAGTGGCAGAAACCCCCGTCGGCAGTTTGTGCGTTACCCGATGGGCTAGGGAGATGGGTCTATGGGAAGAGGGCTGGCTATGCGGACAAGAAAATCTGAATTTGAATCCCCAGCACCCACATAAAAGCTGGCATAGCCATGTCTGTAACTCCAGCGTGGGGGTGGGGAAGAGGAAGGGTAGGCAGAGACAGACAGGCAGGGGCAGATCCCGGAAACTCGGTGGCCAGCCAGAGTAGCTGAAAGGACAAGCCTTGGGTTCAGTGAGAGACTTTGTCAAAAAAAAAAAAAAAAACCTGGATAGCCCTAAAGTAAAAACCTGAATCCTTCCAGGCCTCTCTAAATTCATATTCACACACGCACACACACACACACACACACACACACACACACACCATGCATGAAAATAGATAGGCTTCCCTAAGCATAGCTGTTAGGAACGTGACGAGGAGCTGGATTCCGGGTAAATTTTGCAGGAAGAGGCAGCAGACTGTGATGCAGATGCAGTGTGGGGCAGGGTGTGAAGAAAGCAAGCATGGCTGCAGTGTCTGAGCTGAACAGCTAGAGAGGAAGCTGGGGGGGGGGGGAAGACCGGAGAGGGCAGGAGGATGACCCCCGAGGTCAGTGCTGGGTACGCTGAAGCTGTGGGGGGGGGAGACCGGAGAGGGCAGGAGGATGACCCCCGAGGTCAGTGCTGGGTACGCTGCTTGTACAACGCCTGCTGGAAACAGAGAGCCGATGAACAAACAGTTCTCAAGTAGAGGGGAGTCCTCGCGAGGGGTATAAATTTAGGAACTGATGACATCATTTCTTGGCTAAGATCAAGTGTAGAAGTTGATAGCAAATGTACAGCACTTAAATCCACGAGCCCAGGGGTCCCCGGGGAGTTTTTGTGAAAAAGAGATGTCTCAGCTGAGGGGTAAAGGCTCCCCAACACTAAGAGAATGGGAAGATAAGGAGGAAACATGGAAGAAGGCAGAGAAATGTACCCCAAGCCGGGAGGCATGTGAAGGAGAGGATGCTCTGGAAGGCAGATGAAGGAAGAGGGACTATCACAGACCATAGGAGAGCTCGAGATCACATGCACAATGACTCACTCCATTACAGATGTCAGGAGGAGGCAGGTGGCAGTCCGTCCGTCTGTCCATCCGTTGTTACCAGGAGCTGGGGCTAAGGACTAGAGTGAGCCGCGATGGATCTCAAGTTTCTTTTGGAGATTAGGAAAATGTTCTGGGGTTAGAAAATGCTGATGTGGGGCACTGGTGGCGCATGCCTTTAATCCCAGCACTCAGGAGGCAGAGCCAGGTGGGTCTCCGTGAGTTCGAGGCCAGCCTGGGCTACAGAGTGAGATCCTTCAGGACAGGCACAAGCTTACACAGAGAAAGCCTGTCTCGAAAAACCCCCCCCAAAAAAAAAAGAAAAAGAAAAAAAAAGAAAGAAAGAAAATGCTGATGTGACTGAAGTTTTGTGAACAAACTAAAAATTTAGCTGGATGTGGTGGTGTGTAGCAAGGAACCCAACACTCAGGAGGACTATAAAGTTAAGACTGGCGAGGGCTACAAAGTGAGGCCTGACAAAAAGAAAGAAAGAAAGAAAGAAAGAAAGAAAGAAAGAAAGAAAGAAAGAAAGAAAGAAAGAAAGAAAGAAAGACTACTAAATTACAAACTTTGGAAAGTGAGGGTTATGGTATATAAATTAGATGTCTTTTTTTTTTTAACTTTGCAAAAACATGAAGCCTCGGGTTTGTACTTTTGAGTGTGAAAAGTACAGAACATTTTTATGGGCTGGAGAGATGGCTCAGAGGTTAAGAACACTGGCTGTTCTTCCAGAGGTCCTGAGTTCAATTCCCAGCAACCACATGGTGGCTCACAACCATCTCTAATGAGATCTGGTGCCCTCTTCTGGCCTGCAGGGATACATGTAAACAACACTGTGTATATAATAAATAAATCCTAAAAAAAAAAAAAAAAAAAAAAGAGGGCATTCTAGCTAATCCATGTACATCAGCATTTGAGGACATGTAATGAATTAGTGCATCTATCCATTCATTCATTAATATTACTGATCATCAGCAGCTATTAACACCTCACAAGGCTTTACAAGCTTCCTGATGGAAGAAGACACCCCCACCACTTCTGAAGTCATCCTGGCCCTATGCTTCCCCAAGATCACATGGTTTCCAGCTCTGGCTGCTTATCTGCCCCACAAGAATACAAGCAGCAGAATCCAGATCATGAATTGAGTCCTGGTTCAAATAGATTTTTAAGGAATTACCACAGGGGCTAAGGGGGTTGTTTGGTAAGTTAGCTTGCCTTTCAAGAACAATTACCTGAGTTCAATCCCCCAGGGGAGCAGGGGGTGGGGAGGGGAGTAAATTACAGGACATGATAGCCTGCATTTGTAATCCTAGCACTGAGGAGGCAGAGACAGGTGGATCAATCCCTAGACTCATTAACCAGCCAACCTAGTCTACTTGGAGAGTTTCGGGCCATTAAGAGACCGTGTCTCAAGCTGGGCAGTGGTGGCACAGGCCTTCAATCCCAGCACTTGGGAGACAGAGTCAGGCAGATCTCTGAGTTTGAGGCCAGCCTGGTCTAAGAGTGATTTCCAGGATAGCCAGGGCTGTTACACAGAGAAACCCTGTCTTGAAAAACCAAAAAATAAGAAGAAGGAGAAGGAGGAAAAAGAGCCCTTGTCTCAAAAAAACAAAAATAGTTGGATGACACCTAAGGAGTATTATCCAAAGTTGTCCTGTGGTTTCCATATTCATGCTCGCACACATACACACTGATAGAGAGAGTTAGAGGAGAGGCCCTGGGGAGAGTAAGTTCAGCAAAGGAGAAGGTACAAGGGAGTTAAGAAATGAGACAAAAGGAGGTCCCTGGGAAGGGAACAACATTTTCTGGAACAATGCTCGAGTGCAAGCATCAGGCGATTCCCCCAAGCACATCCAACTGTGTGTTCTTCCAGAAATGTTATGGCAGAGAAGGGGATCTCTTAGCAGGGAAAACCTGTCGCCTAGCTTGTTACATTCAAGGGATGCCAAGACATGAGCCTGAAGCATTTCCCATCCTCAGGGAGCTCTTCCCTGAAAGCACTGCTTTCTCTGGGGGTCATGATTACTCTTCACCAATAACATCCCTACTTCATCAAAAACATCCACCACAGCACCTTTCTGTAATTCTTGAAAAACACTTGCATCTTTTTAAAGAGGAAATAATAGAGAAAACAAAGTCTATAATCCCGTTACCCAGATCTCATTTCTCTTTTTAATAGATGTAATATGAGAAGTAGAAACCTCCCCAGACATTATTCTCCGTGACCCTTTATCTTTGAGGCAAAAATTCAGACGCCTCTTATAAATATTTGAATTAAAATTCACACACAGCCCCAGGATACTTCAATTCTCCACCTTGCCCTTTATGCTTCCAATCTTGGCAGTACTTACCCACACATTGATTTCCATGGCCACGGTGCACTTTTAAAGAATGCTTTGAACTTTATCATATCTAAGTCTCATCAAAATACAGTGAGAAAAGAATATCTCTATTTTGCAGATACGACAACTGACCCAGAATGAGATTAAGTGGCCTGTCCCACGTCTCGAGGGAGATGGAAGTTGAGGTAACTTCAGATGCTGGTCTCCTCTCATTCACTGTACCACTGCGCCCCCTCGTGGCCCTCGGGAAACATTTCTGCCGCCGCCCCGCGCCCCCCCCCCCCCCACACACACACACACACACACACACTCCCCGCAGCAGAGGGCCCCCTTCCTCCTCATAGTCCTTAGGAAATACTTCATCTGAATTATGACCATCCCACACTCTAAGTTGTGTCTTTTTTTTTTTTGGTTTTTTTGAGACAAGGTTTCTCTGTGTAGCTTTGAAGCTTGTCCCGGATCTCACTCTGCAGCCCAGGCTGGCCCCGAACTCACAGAGATCTGCCTGCCTCTGCCTCCCGAGTGCTGGGATTAAAGTCGTATGCCACCACCGCCCCTGAGTTGTGTCTTTATCAGCTCCTCTGTCTGGAAATTTAAGGGCATCTCATTATAATCTTGGTTCTCACAACCAGAAAACTTTGAGATAGGAAGAAGAAAAAGAAGAGGAGGAGGAGGAAGAAGATGGAGTGGAGGCACATGCCAATAACCCCAGTACTTGGGAGGTGGAGGCAGGAGGATGAGGCATGAAAGGACAGACTCAGCTGCAAAGGAAATTTGAGACCATTCTGAATTACCAAAGATGCCGTCAAAATGCACCGTTCAAGAAGGCCCTAGCAGTAACAGGGACTTTGCCTAGCACATGTGAAGCTCTGGGTCTAATCCCCAGGACCAAAAAAAAAAAAAAAAAAAAAAAAAAAAAAAAAAAAAAGAAAAGGAAAAGAAGGAAGATTGACTTACACAGTGGTATGCTCCTGTATGTGGTGAAGAGGTAGAGGCAGAAGGATCAGAAGTTCAAGGTCACCCTCCACTACATAGAGAGCTCTAGACCAGCCTGGGCTGTGGGATCTGTGTCTCAAAAATACAAATGAACTCATTAAATTTTCCATTGAAAATATGGTTCATAGTCAGGTATGGTAGTGCATGCTTGTAATCCTAGCAGTTGGAGAGCAGAGGCAGGAGGATTATCAAAAGAAAGCTCAAGGCCAGCCTACATAGGGTGCTCCAGACTAGTTAGGGTTACATAACTAATAAAAATAATAAAATAACTAATAAAAAGACTCTATTTTTTTTTGTTTATTTTTTTTGAGACAGAGTTTCTCTGTGTAGCTTTGTGCTTTCCTAGAACTCACTTTGGAGACCAGGCTGGCCTCGAACTCACAGAGATCCACCTGCCTCTGCCTCCCAAGTGCTGGGATTAAAGGCGTGCGCCACCACCGCCCGGCAAAAAGACTCTATTTTCAAAAATAATAATAATTCAATTTTAAAAGATACTTAAATTGAGACTTGACATAGATTATACAATAATTGCTTAATGTCAACTTTTACCTGCACTAAAAATCAAATCTCACCAAGAGCCAGTTTTGCTTATGGTGAGGAGGGGCCATATGTATACAGGATTCGTTATGTCAATTAGTCATTTATTTATTTATTTATTTATTGGTTGGTTGGTTGGTTGGTTGGTTGGTTGGTTGGTTGGTTGGTTTTTCGAGACAGGGTTTCTCTGTGTAGCTTTGCACCTTTCCTGGAACTCGCTCTGTAGACCAGACTGGCCTCAAACTCACAGAGATCTGCCTGGCTTTGCCTCTCGAGTGCTGGGATTAAAGGCGTGCGCCACCACCACCCGGCAATTAGTCATTTATGTTTGGACATAAAATAAACCTTAGGGGCAGACAAGCTTTGCCATGTGGCTTTGAGGCAGGGAAAATGCTCCCTAAAGCAACGCCTGTCTTCTCCCACTTCAATCCCCCACTCTAATTAGGGTGTCCTTTTCTGAAGAGTCCTGAGCCTTCTTACACAGGCTCAGGTCCCCATCCAGATGAAGTTGACATACAGAACCACTATTAAATAACAGTAAAATACTACAACAGCTCTCTTCTCCATGTAGATAAGGTACTATTAGGGGCTGGAGAGATAGTCCAGTAGCTAAGAGTACTTGCTGCTCTTCCGGAGGACCCAAGTTCAGTTCCCAGCAGGTAGTTCCCAACTACACGTAACTCCAGCTGCAGCGGGTCTAATACCATCATCTGGCTACCACTGGCAGCCACATACATAGCATACAGACACACACACACTCATTCTTAAAGGTAAGGACTTCTCTAATATGAGTCCCTGTGGTGATATTTTATTTGTATGTTAATAATAAAGTTTGCCTGGAGATCAGAGGTCATAGTCAGCCATAAACAGAAGTCAGGCGGTGGTAGCACACGCCCTTAATCCTGATCACATGGCAGGCAGAGTCTCTGTGTGCTCAAGGACACAGCCAAGCCTGGTTGAAGGGTTCACAACACGCCCCCCCCCCCCACGGTCGCATTTACCAGGCGGACACTTGCGCCTAGCCAATTCCGGTCAGGCCGGACACCTCCGCCTAGCAAGTTCCGGCCAAGGCATCTCGCGTGACCAGAATCCGTGACATTACATGGCTACGTAAGCGTGCAACGTGACCATGTGAGCTACGCACACGCATGGAGTAGTGACGTGACCTGGCCACACCCCCAGCCAGTTTTTAAAGCGGAGCGCCATATTCCCGGTTCTCTCTTCTCTCCCGGACTTCCATGTACTCCTGTTCGTGCTTCACAGCCGTCATGGCCACTGCCAGCTCGTTAATCATTTCTTCTAGCTTGTTCTGATGAGCTTCTGTCTCCATGTCTTGTCCTTTGGGAGCCTCCCCAATGTCAATGGTGAACATGACTATCTTTGGAGTCATGGTAGACATCCTATTACTAAAGCAGAACTTGTATGTCCCATCCATGTGGGCTGCAAACGTGTACTTCCCGCTGGACTCTCTGTCTCCTTTATAGATGCCTTTGTTATCTGGTCCTGTGATCTCCACGTCGATGTCCAGGAAGCTGCCCTCCGCCACCTCGAAGATGAGGCCCATCTTGGTGCCCGAGGTGACCCGCTCGAAGAAGCACTCCTCGCCGCTTATAAGAGTTTATTAGAAAATACAGGGATAGAGAGTGTGCAGGCCTGTGGGAGAGACACGTGCGTGAAGAGGAAGAGGAGAGAAGAGAGAACCGGGAATATGGCGCTCCGCTTTAAAAACCGGCTGGGGGCGTGGCCAGGTCACGTCACTACTTCACGCGTGTGCGTAGCTCACATGATCACGTTGCGCGCTTACGTAGCCATGTAACGTCATGTAACGTCACGGATTCTGGTCACGCGAGATGCCTTGGCCGGAACTTGCTAGGCGGAGGTGTCCGGCCTGACCGGAATTGGCTAGGCGCAAGTGTCCGCCTGGTAAATGCGACCGTGGGGGGGGGGGGCGTGTTGTGAACCCTTCACTGGTGACATACGCCTTTAATCCCAGTACCAACCATAGAGACCTGGAGGTCTGTCTAGACAGGCAGTGATGAGGAAGTGAGGTGGCTGGGCTTAGAGCCAATGAGAAGGCAGAACAGGAAGGCAATAAAGGTGCAGGTTAGACAGGAAGGAGCTCTCTTGGGAAGCTACAGTGAGGTGGTGAGCTAAGGTTAGTTGGCGGCTATTGCTCTGATCTGTACGGCTTGCACCTCTGTATTTGGTTCTGTGTTTCTTATTAAGACTGTTTAGAAATTTGTCTACAAGTCCCCCTCTCTGCTGAGTACCAAAAGGAAACCAAAGCCCGTGAGCTTGGAAAATGGTGCTGCCGAATGGAGACCACCGCTGGACAAACCTTCAGAACCACCCAAGCCCCTCTCACCCCATGCCAGCGGATGTTAATGACGGGATAGAAGAGGATGTTGGATCTGCTTCTCTGACCAAAACTACTTGGTTGTCTGCTGTCTTTCACTCTTGTTATGAAATACTCTCAAAAAAAACCCTGGACCAAAAGATCGTAAGACCTGCTGGTTTTTATCTGATTCCCACTGACATATGCTTAGCTTTGTTTTGAAGACTGTTATTTTATGTGAATTAGTGTTTTGCCTGCATGTATGTATGTGGACTTCACATACGCCTAGTGCTTGCAAAGGCTAGAAAAGAGTGTCAGATCCCCCTGGGAGCAGTTAAAGATGGTTGTGAGCTGCCATGTAGGTGCTAGGAACCAAACTTGGGTCATCTGTGGAAGTTATAAGTGCTCTTAAGCACTGAGCCATCTCTCCAGCCCCTACACTTATCTTTTAAAAGGATGTTATTTAGAGAGCTGGGTGCGTGCCTTTCACCCCAGCATTCAAGAGGCAGAGGCAGGTGGAACTCTGAGTTCCAAGACAGAGAATGCTACATAGAGAGACCCTGTTTCACTGTCCCTGCCCACAAAAAGGGATGTTATTTAGCTTACAGGGGAGGAGGGCTATGATGATACCACCCCACCTTTCTTCAATGTCTAGTCTGAAAACAAACCCCAAACTCAGATTTCTATTCTTTTTCTTACGATGACTTCTTTCTTAGTCCTGATTAATGAGCATGAAAAGCCATTTCTCCAAGTCTGTCTGCTACAGAAGGCAGGCTTTGCTGGCCTGTCTGCCTCATCTGATTGTACTGTTCCTGGCTTTTAGAAGGCCAGCCTGAAAAATACGCCTAAGAAAAGCTGCTGTCACCCTATGCTGGACCAGCTCACTGGAGAGCTTCTCATTACCTAGCAAGATGCACTTGTCCTTGGCTAACAGATATCCTAACTTTTTAACACATATGCCTAGACTCAGCATTTTGTAGCTCTAACATCTGACGTCCTCTCTCTCAGCAGCTGGCATGTGTTAAGCTGCACTGGAGGCCTGGGGAGAGTATGGAAGTGTGAACTGCAGCACCTCCGTCCACTTCCCAGACAGAAATGAGGGTGTTTGAAGAGCCCACCCACCCACCCAGAGAGGTGAGGGGTGGGTTTGCAAGAAGGCTGAAGCATATTCTAGATACAGGCATTTCAGCCGTTACCATGATTTCTACATGGTGCCAAGAGCTGTACAGATTGTCCCCTACTCATAATACAAATCTACCACTTAAGGTCCAGCAATGGGGGACAGCACCTCATTGTTGAATGAACCCTGGTATTAATTTGCTCATATTTTCCTAGCATGGGCAAAGTTTTCAATGTCTACGAGGCTAGGATATGGGTATCTTTCAATCTGTAGCTTTCAGATGAGAAAACAGATCTAGAGAACTTCTGTGACTTCTAAGCTGCCAGCCATCGGGTGGAGGGGCCCAGTTCTGCTGGGTAATCAGTGTTAAGATGCTGTCTTAGTCTGTCAATCGACAGAAGGGAAAAACATCCTTTCCAAGCACGTTCTGAGAAGCAGTACTCAAGAGCCAGGCATGGTGATGACATATGCCTATAACCTCAACATTTGGGATGTAAAGGCAAGAGGATCAGAAGTTCAAAGTCATCCTCAACTACATAAGAGAATCCAAGCCATCTTGTGCTATATGAGACCTTATCTTTAAAAATTAAAATTAAAAAAAAAGTGGGGGCTGGAGAGATGGCTCAGTGGTTAAGAGCACTGGCTGCTCTTCCAAAGGTCCTGAGTTCAATTCACTGCAACCACATGGTGGCTCACAACCATCTGTAATGTGATCAGGTTCCCTCTTCTGGTGTGCAGGTATACATGCAGGCAGAACACTGTGTACATAATAAATAAATCTTTAAAAAAAGAAAACAAATGCTAGAGAAATTGCTATCAGTACAGCTCTTGACTCAAAAACAGGAAGGCCTGAATTCAACCCCCAGAACCCATGCAAAGATGCCATATGTGTGGCACATGTGTGCATTCGATGAGGACAGGGGACTCCCTCAACTGGCCAGCTAGCCTAGCTCCGTGAGCTTTGGGCCAGGAAGAAACTGTTTCAAAGGAGGTGGGTAGCACTTCAGGAATGACACTAAGGTAGTTCTCTGGCTTCCACATGTGTGCATTTATGCACATGATCTCCCCACACACACACACCAACACATACACACCAACACAGATAGACCCACGCATACATAAATATTCACATATGCATTTAAACATTTTAAAGTTTTTAAAGTTTTGTTTTTACTTTATGTGTATAAGTGTTTTGCCTGTGTGTGTGTGTGTGTGTGTGTGTGTGTGTGTGTGTGTGTGTGTGTGGTGGTAATCTAATTGTACTGAAATATTATTTTGATTGTATGTTAATAAATAAAGTTGTCCGGGGGTCAGAGCTATTAGAGCCATAGCAAGAGTGTGGCGGTGGTGGCACACGCCTTTAATCCCATAGATATCTGTGTGTTCAGG